AGTTCCTGGGCTCCCTGTGGTCAAACAACCCACAGTGTCAATGTAAAATGGTTATTTTTCTGTTTTGGTGATTTGCAAATGGCTTACTGGTAGTTGTTTCAAAGGCTCTTTCAATTTCGAGCGAATTTGTGAATATTTAAAACAAAAACATAGTTCATACATATTTGCACATAAATGGTGGCAAACAATGGATTACACTCAAAATAGTAGTCTATTTCATTAAATAATGCGCTCTGAGCAACATAGCAAAAACTTATATTACTGAAATAACTATAGGTTGAGTCTCTCCACCAGGCAAACATTGAAATAACAGCATCATTAAAATAAAATTAAACAGTCAACTAAGAAAGTCCCTAAGCGTAAGTTGGGTGAAGTGTGCGGTAATTATTGGTCGTTCAAAGTCTTCGATGCGGTGGACGACGTCAGTTCAGAATAGATAGGTCAGTTTGTTCAGACTTGATACAATAACCTTGCAGCATTGTTCATACACGTCGAAAATCATATACGTACGGGATTCACGTAGCAAACATGTGGGTAGTTGACTCACTTGCTGACCACTCCAGTTAGAGCCTCGAAAAAAGAATTTCCGTTGCATGAATAGTTCTCAGTATGAAAGCGGATACACCCGCGACCCAGGGGTAGACACGCCACATCTGATTGGCGGATATGCGGGTACATCGTACCAACAGGTGCTTATTACATCTTTGATGTGATAATGCATTCATATTGGTCGGCGACATGGCGGAACGTCCTATAAACATACTACACGAGTGCTTGTTAACATATGATAGTAGAAGCGAATAAATCGCTCGGTTACTGTTGTCCACGTGGCGGTCATAACCATGGTTACTTCTATTTCGCTCCTGAAAGCTAATGTCAAAGAAAATTCGAGAACTACTCGAGGTGCACATTTCAGCTGGCATGTTATGTAAGCGTGTCTACGAAACTATGTAATTTTAGAGTATAGTTTGATTAGCACTTCCGACAGTCAGCTAGAGATGGTAATATATGGTTTAACATCACATTTCACTGAGTTTCTATTTGGTCAATTTATGATTTATTTTGTCCCGGAAAATATAGACCACAATTTGACATCACGCCATAACTATATTTCTATTTCTATATTTCAGGACTTAAAATATTAATTGTACTTGAGATATTGATGGGAAAAATGAAAACTGACTAAATAATATGCACAGATTTGTGTGTAAAACTAATAAGGTCTGCGCAATGTCACAGACCATCTATGTGCCAAGTTTCATTGAAATGTGATTAGAACCCAACACTGTGCAAGTCTGTGCATTGTCTTAGAGCATCCATGTACCAAGTTTCATTGGAATGAAAAAAGTAGTAATTGTGATATCAGTGTAAAAGCTGAAAATTAACTTGCATTTGCCTGATAATTGACTAACTGAATGTATATCTGAAATACTTTCATTTGAATCTATTTTCAGAGACTTTTTGAAATCTACATTTATTTCGAACACATTTCACATAGAGTGTCATTTCAGGTAAGTATTAATTTTTATAGAATATCATTTCGCGAATATCAATCCTGTATTCTGTTGATCTGACATTTTCGTGGTCAGTGTGTATGATTCAGTGGTTAGCGCATCCGCCTGAAATGGTGAGACACTACGCCTTGTGCCGATGTCAATGTTTGTTTGTTTGCCTGAGTTTATTACTATCATTATGATTCTTTTATGGGGTTGACTCGATATTACTCTCCAAAGTGCGTGCACCGGGGAAGACATAACATGACTGAGCAAATATATACCGTATATCTGATATGTATCTATTGTAATATAGTACAAAATGTCACGTTGTCACATATAAATGAGACCGCAGAAAACATACGTAAATCAAGCGGTATTTAGGTACTGTTATTATGTGCGGGTGCTCATCAGTATCCGGCACGATTCAATAACCGGGCCATATCAACCTGAATACTGCTACTATTCTTATCTTTCCATGCCACTTGTCCCCATTTTCATTTAGTCTACATCATTATACCATCAATAATTATAGATTCATTTCATACAATATCGTTAAATGCATATGACCATTCACATGTTTGTTTGTTTGTTTTTGTATAAATTGAATAATCTCAGTTGATCGCAATCGCCATATTAAATTATCATCTAGGAATTTATATTACAGTCGTGTTTTGTTTCACAGTATGTATCGTAGTAGTAGGTCATTTGACATCATTACTACAGGTGATTTGGTATTTCAAGAAAGTAAAAATATATCATTTTCTCATTATGACCTCTGGGTATTTAATGAAACGATGGTGATTATAGATAGAATCACACGCTACATTGTATCCCCCACTGTGCTCAGAGAGCGCACAATGTAGCTCACCTCGAGTGAACTAACGAGGGGCTTTTCCGGAGAATCCTCGGGACGGCTGTTTGTATTCTTCATTATCGAGCGAGGCTGTAATTCTAGTGTACGCTATATTTATTATGCAGTGGGTATGTATGTTTCTATGCAGGTAATGTGAAGTTCACGTGCTCGGATTCATTTATGATGTATTAGATTTGTTGCGCATATTGTGGATGTCCAATATCTGTCAACGTTTTATTTTTGTTCTGGCTCATTGCAACATTCTGACATGTAGCGTAACTCATTATAATAATGCAAAGAAGGAAAGAGATACAGAAAATTACGGGTTTAAATAAACGCATGCGCACTCATTGCTTCATTGCTGACTAGTACCGAGCTAAGCAGTAAGGCACACGGATTCTGAACAGAAGCCTCGCACGACTCGACGTCTCACGCAGCGATTCGTAAAATTGGTAATTCCGGTATTGAGGTAGCACCATATCTACGAAAAGTTGCAGTGCTAGTCAGTCTCACTAAAGATTAAGGTAAGACTGCTTCTTAATTCAACGTGCAACTTTGTCCGGTTTCATTTATAATTCGCCGAATACATATCCACAGGCTGTAATGTACTATCCTCACAAACCAACAAAATATTGATAGTTCGCATGGTGAACTACAAATGCGATGTTCCTAGCGTTGCATATATATTTCACACGGCTACTATATAGAAAACAAAACAGACAAGTACACTGCGATCAGTTAGTTATCTCAGCGCTATGCGACATCACCATGACAACTACTAAGTCTTGATTTAAAAGAAAATTGCTGGTATTATCAAAGAAGACGAGTTGAATACACAGTTACTTAACGGTTCGCGAACATTTCGAGGACAGTCTAAAATAAATAATTAGCACAACTGAAACAGTTTTCCCATATGGACACACGAAAAATAATTTCTTTCAATTCAATTGTTTGTGGCCACTGATTGGAACAACGTGACAAGTGATTAATATCGTGAACTGACTGCGAGTCGAGAAAGATCAATTGTAACGGGCATACGTCTAATCAAACTACTTTTTCTTCAAATATATAATGAAAGATAAAAGCCAATGCTACGAACTATTTATTTTGTGGCATTGTGTGCTTTTGTAACACGTTCTAGATGTTGATATACTTTTATATGATGATACAAACTACTTAGCATGGAAATACAGGGGGCAGTAGCGAACGTACACAGCTCACAAAAGGAAAAGAAAATGCGTTTATCAGATCATCTGTTAGTGACAGTCAATCATTCTTACTATAGGCCATCACTTGAATAACTGTGTTGTGTCCCACTGTCACATACTAGTATTCCACAAGAAAGCGGTTAAGTATATATTTAAGATATGTGTACGTGAGTGTGAGCGTGTTGCATTGTACTCATTCGACGGTCGCGTAGCAAATAATATAATGATCATTTATATGTTGCCTGTCTCAAATCTTTCCCTACAATGTTGATGCATCTTAAGAGAGCGATATACAATAATTGATATGCCCAACCTTATTCTAGACTAGTCTACCAAGCGGCCGGCACTAATGTAATATTTCGTACTAACGAATAGAAATTACTGAATTGAGAAGTACACGTCATGTTCGTCAAGCTTTCATTATTCTGGATTGATGTCAGCATGTCTTCAGGATACCGGTCAAGTTTTCAAAACCGAAATGCCATGGCAAAATTGTTTTTCTCCCACTGGTTTCTATAATAAATTTCCTTCCATATTTAATATTTTGGCTCGGTCATATATTTTCTATTCATAATGTTAAAACAAACAAAGACATACATATAATTAATTAGATTATCTTCAATAATGCATAGCGTATATGTGCAATAACATGATCAGTGGTGCAACATTTGAGTTAGAATCGAACTGCCTTATTATTTATTATGCTGCTGATGTCACACAGCAAATTCCATCGTACGATACACACGTGTACATGAGACGCATAGAACATATAATAGTTATCGAGAATATACAGTACGTTATTCTGAACATCATGTAGCTGTATTCTTATGTATTTACGCAAGAAAAACCTGATGTTAAAATATATAGAATGTCAAATCTTGCACAAAGCGACAAATATTTCTCTGAATATTTTGTAAAGCTTAAATCCATATTTAATCAGTATGTACGCAGCAAATTTAGACATCGATAATCTAATTATGAAATGAAAGATAATGAGCAAATACAGTGTTTCTTAGCGAAGACGTTTCTTGGCATTCAATTGTCCCTGAGGCCCGTTATCTACTTGAGAAAGTCCGACGTCATCTGTTGTCATGCCAACAAGAATGCCGGAACGAACAACACAATGACTGACATTTGCCATTGAATCTTAACCTGTGTAGGAAGTAGATGCTAACAATTCTCGCAATTGAGGAACTTTATGTTAGTAGTATGTATTTTTAAACATTTGTATTGTGTATCCTGACCGAAGGACCTGTTTCGAGGACACCCGAATGCGTTGTATCCCAATTTGAATACGTTGCATTGATCAAACACTTTATACACCTGTTGTTAAAACCTGTTGTACTTGGTTTACAAGCAATAAAGACAGTATCGATCAATGCAGCTAATAAAAAAAGATTCCCCGGTAAGTATTAGTTGTCCTTAAAAGCAGGGTATTCATTAGCAATTGATCGAATCAACAGCATCGCTAACGAGATTGGTTAGCATATCATTTGACAGGAATATATTTATAAACATGCAATGACAAGGAGCTGTAACCTAGGCAGGTGTTGTGAGAGAAGACAATTTACTTAAAATAAATTGGATTTGATATCGTTTAATAAAATGTACCTGGTAACTAGACAAGCTGTTTCCTGATTACGAGGGTATCGACATCTCATTCTGAGATGTACAGGCAGGGTTGTTTATGTTAGCATGTATGCTACAACCCGTTCATTTGTCATGCTAAATACAATAACACACAAATAAAGGGATATATGTAGTTGTCATGTGATTTTCATGCGACCAGGACCTTAAATAATGTCATTGTTTCTTAAAGCTCTATTCACAAAGACGCTTAATTTGACAGCTATCGTCGGCAACGAGGGATGCGTACTCTTGCGATCACGTGACCAAAATGAGCTGCCCTGTATTACCGTGACAAATGCACCTGGATAGGGGATGAGTGTGTTAATGTAGCCAATGCAACACTTTTTCATTTGCGCTGGTAAATAGAAAGAACAGACCGTCGCGTTTGTATTATTTGTTTTCATGCATTGCCATATCAATCACTAATAATGTCGATGGCGGCAATTTGAAGGCGCTGTCTATAATCCAATAACGAGTTTTTAAGTGCTGTTGCACACCTTAAATATCCACTGGCGCCTACCGCTACATTTCTTAAAATAATAATTGTTTGTGTCTGTACTCAAAGTCTGGCGTAAATCACGAGTTATCGAAAAAGCATATCATAATGTTTGACGTCACTTATGCTACCGAACGTGTTTTTAATTGTACAGGCCACCGTATGTACTTTTTTGGTATGGACACGGTCCACAAATTCTGATACAAAATAGTTCATACGAATTCATGTGTTTATTTACAAAATTACGCTAAAAATCGGTTGAAATAAAAAAAGAATCCATAAACGTATATATGATGTATATGTATTCTGTGTTGTTTCAGTGGTATATATGTGGTATGCCTGTGATAAAAATATAATTATTTACACGCTTCGGATTACTAAAACATCGGGCGGTAATTACTCGTGCCTCAAAGAAAAAATAGTATTGGACTATATGTAAACTTAATTATATTCTAAAACCGTTATTTGCCATTGAATTCATTATATGCAGATACATGTTTATTTCAAATTAATATAATTTTTGCTTGTGAATTAATATAATAATCTTTTTACTAAAACATGTTTCAGATCAAATCTAAAGAGTTTGAAATTGCGATGACTGTGACAATAGTACAGCTCGTTGAAGTTGTCCGAGAAAAGCAAATATCCACTCACCCTGGGGGTAGATCAATATGCTTTCAAAATATCCATCTCGTTCATTCTCCATAGACCCAGGTGACAATTCCAGAACTTAGAAAAGCCTTTAACTCCCATATGATGAATACATTAACCCCGACGACTCCCACCGTGAGATCGAATGGGTTATGTTCATGTTATCCTATTATAATGGATGTACATGGTCCATAGGGAAATCTGCATTCTCTCGAAGACGTCAGCGTTCTGCAGAGCTCAAGTGGAAAAACTGCAGAACAGAAATTATACATATAACGTACTTTGAACCGCGAACATATTCCAGGTAAACATGTACTAACCATTTCTTTTGAGAGCGACAAAAAGAGAATACACAATCATCCACTATACACAATCATCCACCTTAAACATATCCTGCTATAAAATAAAACAACTGCCTTTTATATATGGCATGCGTGTTCATGTTCGTTTTACGACGATCTACATTATCCATTATATCACTAACATTCCTGGTCACTTTGTTGGAAAGCACAATGTTTGAATTGTGGTTTTTCCCAAGCATGTATCGTTATAATATACCATTGCCAACGAGAGAACAACGTGACTTGTTTTGTCCCCCATATAGCTTTAACTGTTTTAATGATCTATGTAACCATGGCACAGTAGACGCGATGACAGGAAAGAACAGAACACTATTCGAAGAACAAAAGCAAATATCGTGACCATCTCGGCATTTGCGATCTATTGTGTACAATTCCGCGATTATTTCCATTTACTGACGCTGTCATTTTTCTTTGAACGATATATTCTTTAAACGACAGTGTTTAGGTAAATGTTACCAAGTTATCAACATGAAAAGGGTTGTAATCTGCTCCACGAAATTTTTCTCATCATACATTTTGTCTTTTGCGATTCTGTCTCATGTGTTATAAATGTGTGATGATATCCAACACGCATACACATTATAACAACTAAGCATGAAACAGACTTGACAAATGTTATTGAAATTGGATTTGATTCAATTTAGTGCTATTTCCGGGTCATTCAGGAATTGTTGGGTGTAACGGAAGTAAATTCGTTGCCCAGTTTATTCTGCATCCAGTTACGCCATTGATCAATGAGCAATTATACACTATTTCCTAATTCATAATATGCGTATTTCCATGGCAACTATACAATTATAAATTAACTAATACGATTTCAAATACATCAAATAAACGCTGCTTTCTTTTGCTATTGGTTTGCTGTCATTAGGATTTAATTCTATCGTGTTATGTTTCGAGTGAACAATCATATATTTTATTCTATACATTTTTTCGGTTTGTCTTTTGTTTGTATATAACTATATCACTATTGATCAAAGTTTTGTATCAGTTTTCAGATGTAATCACATATTATCACGTTAATAAACTGCACTAAAATCAATCCAGTCAAAGAAAAAAATAGGTTATCGCCACGCATGACGTCACACACGAGAATAGCATATGATCGTAGGAAATGGCGAGAATGGCTGAGTTAAATTCGCTAAAGGATTCAAAGGATAATAATAATGAATGAGAGT